AAAAGCTATTCTTAATAAAGGTGACGAGTATAATCATAGCTTTACTATTAAAGAGCTTCGTAAGGTCGAAGTATCGTATATCTCGAAGCTGGCTTAAAAAGAAAGCTTTGCTTAAGCCTCGACGTTTCTTTTATTATCAAGAGCGTCGGAGTCAGCAAGAGGGAGCTCTTAGTAATCCTTAAGAGCGTCAGAGTAAGGCTTATCGTCCGAGTCATCCGAATAAAGGCCGTATTCGAGTCTAGCGCCGTATTCTATCTCGTTGATTAAGTGGTAGCGAAAGAGCTTCGGCGTATTCGGGTCCTTGCGGGACGATCTAAAGGTCTTGATCGCTGACTTAAAAGCGTTTCCGAGAAAAGAGAATTTATTAAACCGATTAAATCGATCTGCACTAGCGCTAAAGCTGTTGAAGGTTTAGCGCTAAAAAGTAAAGAAAGAGACGGAGGCTAAGCTACCTTAGCGGTTCTCGTAATAAGTGATTTGCTTGACCGCTGCTCTTTAAGCCGAGCGGGATTCGTTACGAGCTTTACTATAAAAGCTTTTCGCGAATTAAGTGTTATACTTAGCCTATAGAGCGTCGTAAAGCTTTGCAGACGCGTATTAGCCAGCAGCTAATTGTTGGACGGCGGTCTAAAAGTCCTTAAAAGTTATAATCTTAGCAAATTTTAAATAGAGCTAGTCGCGCAGCGTCTTAATGATCTTAGAACGCAAAGCCTTACGTAATCGGTCTTCGTCCTTAATTTCAGCGATAGCGGCAAGCTCCGAGAAAATAAAGTAAAAGTCTTAAAATTGCTAGTTAAGCTTTATATAGAGTTTTTCGAACTCAATTAACGCTTTAGCCTTCTTAGCGAGGTCGTTTAAGAACTCGAAAGCGATCTAGACGAGTTCCGAAGCGGTTACGAGGTTGCTACGATCCATAACTAAAGAGGCTAAGAATAAGTAAGCTGTTCCTTCGGTTTAATCAAGGACGTAATTCTTGCGCTAGCGTTCTATAAAAAAGTATTCATCGAAAGCTTTTAAGTTGTCGAAGACGCGGGCTTGCTAGTGACGTGCTCGGTAGCTTACACCGTTTAAGAGCTTTTGTTTAAGGTTAAAGATCCGCTCGATACGAGCGCGACCTTAAGAAGCTAAAGAGAAGGCTCTAAGGGTATTAAACTTAGCTAGAGTGCGGGAGTTAGTTAGCTTGTGAAGAAAAGGTGGTTCATCGTCGTCGTCGGCGAAGAAGCGGCGAGGGTTAGCGGTTCTATAAGTAAAAGGAGTAGCCTAAAGGACCGAAGGCTTGTATAGCTCTTTAGCTTTAGAATTATCTTCGAAAGACACTTAAAAAGGCTCTAACAAGCGTTTTATAGTTAGCAAGACCGCTTAAAGCTGGTCTAGTTCTTTTCAAGTTCGACGAGCTTCTTTTTCAGCTTTTTCGGCGAAGGTTTTTTATTCGCTAGCGCTTTTATCGAGCTCTTCGTTGCGGGTTTTTATATTTGCGAAGAGCTTCTTAAGCTCAACGGCCTTTCGTTAAGACTAAAAGAGAGCTTAGTATTAGGCCAAAGCTTCTTCGAGGTTAGTAAAAGCCGAGAGATCATCTTTATCGTCTTGTTTATTAATAGCTTTTTCTTAAGTAAAAAGAACTGTTAGTTAAGCCGTAGAAGAGGAGGAAGGAGCTGCTAGAGCAGCTTTAAGAAGAGTGCGGAGGATTTTGCCCGCGGAGCGAAGGTTGCTGTGTTGTATGAGTGCTATCCTTCAAGTTGTACTTAGAATATGTGACGACACGAAGAGCTCAGACAAACTGTTGGTGATGTGCTTAGAATATCAAGGTACAGAACCAGAACAGGTCTGAAAGCAAGCTATATACATGTGTGGCCAAGGGGCTCGCTTGGAGCCTTGGCGAGGCCTGAGGCATAGGCCAGCATGGCCAAAAGGGACGAGTCGTCACACTACTCCCCTCTCGTAAAAAAGAGCGGAGTTGCAACGCAGCGATCACTCGTCCTCGAGTATAAGTATATATTCCGTTCAAGCTACCAAAATCATTCTCCACTAAGGCGGTCCACCGTCCATTCCATCATATCGGCAATTGTTTGTATCCTTGGAGCCTCGTTTAGCACGCAGCTTTCCGTATTCATTGTAATCCCTTTGATATCTTGCACGATCGCAAGGATATCTTTTTGAATGTCCGGAGGAGGAGGGGCTGAAAGATGTCGAAAAATCAGCTCGGAAAGCTTAGCGAGACGAGTATTATATATCGATAAAGTCTTGTCCGATAGAGGTGTCGAAAGGGAAGAAAAGGGTTTGGCAGAAGCCTTATATCGCGTAGAGATTGAGCGGACGAGCTGCCGAGTACAAGGGTCGAGGTTCCTTGTATATTGATGTTTGCTATCGGCCAGGTCTTGGAGCCAATGTGCTATAGCGATAATATAAGGTTCCATCGAAAGAAGAGAAAA